CCTGGAGGAACTTTCTTTCTTTTCCTTCTTCCTTCCTTCCTTCCTTCCTTCCTTCCTTCCTTCCTTTCCTCCTTTCAGGATAAAGTTTCTCTGTGCAACATCCCTGACTGTCCTGGAATTCTCTTTGTAGACCAAGCTGGTCTCAAATTCTCAGAGATCTGCCTGCCTCTGTTTCCCAAAATACTATTTGAGCAGTTTCAGTCTAAGTAGGAAATGCTTCTACCCAACCAGAAAAGGCATTTATAAAAACTACAAAGTACTTTTATCCTCACCTGGAAGGCCAGATCTCAATGAAGTCAATTTTCCCAAAGTTCACTGGGATGTTGGTCTCTTATTTGAACCCCTTCCTAGGTTAAGGCTCTCTGCTTTGGCTTCACTTGAGCACAAACCTGGCATCTGGGTGAGGTATCTTCCATTAGGCTGTCCTGTCTAGGTAATAATATACCTTGGTCTGAGTCACGCAGGAAGTTCTGTGGACCCCAGATGAGTAGCCTGGTGAAGGTCAGTTACCAGAGTCCTGCTGGTTGTTTCTGGGAGAATGAGCTTCCCTCCAGTGTCCTCCACCAACCTGTGGGTTTGAGCTGTCCATTTCTTCCTCTTGATTGTACCCTGGAGTCTCAGGGTATGTCATCAGAATATCAATAGACTCTGCTGGCCTTAGGACCTTTGTCAGTCAGCCACGTCAGCGACCCTGTTACCTCTTGCCACAGGATCCTTGAAGTGGACCAGTGGAGGAAAGCAATTTGGCGGGGGAAGCTAAATAGCCTCCAGAAGGGCCAAGAGTTTCTCTTCTCTTTGTTTTTGATGTCCTTTCCCCAGTGGCGAGACACCCTCTTTCCCTATTGAACATACTGTGGATGTGCTCAGTAGCATGGTGACTGTGTGTGTGTGTGTGTGTGTGTGTGTGTGTGTGTTGTGTGTGTGTATGATGGTGGACTCTCCTTTCACCCTGCTGAGAGCCTGGGTCAGAGCAATCTTCTGAGCTCTAGGCTGAGGTGCCTGGTTTCAGTTAAGGTAACTACCATAGCTCCCATGTACCTGATTTCATCTCTCACCCCATGACAGTCATGGCTGAGCACTTGCAGATCATCATCAGACAGGAGGATAGCAAGGTTGATGGGTGTTGGTTTCTCAAACTGGACTCAGAGGAGAGCCAGGAATAGGGCCTGGCACTGGGTCACACAAGCATTACCCAGTCAGTGTTCTGGTGTTCCTCAGAGGAAGGGCCTCAATGGCATGGGGTCTGTCAGTCTAAGGTGACCCAGAGTTAACTTTTTTTTTCATTAGACTAGCAGTCATCCCCACAGCTCTTAGATAGGTGTGACATCCTGCATCTACAGGGTCCAATTATTTGGACAGCTATGCCACAGGATGTTTTTATAACCCCAAAAAGTCAGAACAACTTTTGTAACGTCTTTTCTTTCCTGGATAAACAGGTTTTGAGGCATCTGGAGGTGCTAGGACTGAAGTTGAAGTCAGGGATGTTTCTAAAGCCTCAAATGTCTCTTGTTTAGTCTCAGTCCAGAGGAGGGGTTCAGTGCCCTGCTTTGCACTGATCTATAGAGGCTTCACTATTCTGTAAACTCTGGTATCCAGATGCAGCAATACCTAGCTATACCTGGGAACTTTCAAATCTGCTTCTTATGTTTTTGGAGTTGGGGTCTGGAGTATCAAGTTGGGAGCGTCGGCCCCAGTCCCTCACATCTATCCCAGTCCCCAGGCCTGGTCTGGACTCCAAATCCCAGCTGGCCTGGTCCTGACCTCTCCCTGGACCACTCCCCAGGGTATTTAAGTGATCCCCCAAAAGAGGAACACGTGGTCTCCCTTTCTTCCTCCCGGGGGGGTCACTTTCTGCTACTTCTCGGTTTCCCCTCGGGGCCACCCGAGAGCACAGAACTCCCATTAAACCTGGATATTTCTTAATTTGGCTTGTTTTGATTTGGCTTGATTGGGAATTTTTGCATCGGCAGGGAGCTAATATTAAGAAATATTCCTAACACGAAGGATGGTGGCAATCCCACTCAGAGGCTCTTTTTGCCTCCTCTCAGCTGGTAACCTAGATAGGTAGCCTTTCATGAACAAGGCTGGGCCTTCTTAGCTGGAATTTTGTAACTCTTGCAGCAGTCCCCCAGAGGCCTTTTTTATGATCTATTTTCCTGGAAAGCCTCTGACGGAAGTCAGCATTTAGCGCCTTATCTAACAGGGTTGGAGAATTTTTAAATCTTTGGGGCAACCTGGTGCTTATAAATTGTCCACTGTCACCTCTCTCTGGGTCTGTTCTTTTAAAAGCAAAAATGGATTGACTACCTCTGCCGATGGGGGACTGAAGAATGTATCTTTCAGATCCAAGACAGTGTACAGCTGCTCCTCTGAAAGAATCAGACTCATGAGAACCAGAGGTTCCAGGTTTCTTCACAGGCAGAAGAGGTGTGTTCCAGGGTAGCTAGAAGGGCATCAAGATGCCTGTCTCTCTATGTCAGGCAATCTTGACTACAATTTTCCTTTTTGTTTAATCTGTATGGGGGTAGCTGAACTGATTAGTTGAACAATTATAGGAACTCAGTGTTTGGCCAGTCCTAGGGGGTCAGTCTCTGCCCATAGTCCTGGAAATCTTTGTTGTCAATCTGATAGTCCAACTGTATCTTTTGACTGTGGGTAGGACTTTCAGCAGGAGATATTCTTTCTTTTCTTTAATCTTTATTATTATTTAAAAAAAATTTATTTATGTACATTGGTGTTTTGCCTGCATGTACATATGAGGGTATTGGATCCCCTGGAACTGGAGTTATAGACAGGTGTGAGCTGCCATGTGGGTGCTGGGAATTGAACCTGGGTCTTCTGTAAAACACCAGTGCTCTTAACCACTGAGCCATCTCTTCAGTCCCAAGGTGATATTCTGTCAACAGAGGGCAAGACACCAAACTGTTGTTGGGTATCTATAAGTCTAACTGCACCCCATCGTCAGAGAAGGTGATGTTGTTGTGCAAAAGGTCTTGTCCTGATCAGTTCTCTGCTGCTAAACACCTTTTGCGCTACCTCCAGCAACTGGAACCTTTAACTTTTGTTTACTTTTAGAACTTAATATCTGAGGCCTACTGGGTGACTAAGAAATTCTTTTTTTGTGGCTGTATTTAATTTTCTAAAAAAGACTAGTGAAAATTGTTCAAAGTCTTCTTGGTCAGTGTTGGAGAGAAGGAGAAGTCTGTTCCATCCAGGATGCACTGTCCAGCAGTGTTTTCCCCACCCCCAGCAGCCTGGAGGCAATTTTTCTACTTTTTTTCATTGAATGGAGGATTTTGAGTTTTCTAATTCTGTGGATCACTGGTTAAAAAAACAAAAGACAAAACTCACGAAAGAGGAAGGAGTGGGAGTCCCCCTTTCCCCCTTCTCTGGGACTGCTTAGGGCAGGCAGGGGAGTGGGGGGAATGCATACCTAAGGGAGCATTCAGCTTAGAAGGCAGGGGCTGCTCCTGACTCCACACAGGCTGGAAGTCAAGTGACTAAACAAGTGGGCAGGCAGGGTTGCTTTTGTGTGTATGTGGAGGAGGGGTGACCTGGCAGAGCCAAAACGAATCAGGTCCCCAACAAGAAGAGGAACAAGCCTTAAACCAGAGGGGTGTCTCACATCAGAGAAAGCCATTGGTCAATAATCAGAAACAGAACTGGCAGAAACACATAGAAAGACAGAGAGATGCAGAATAACAACAACCAGGGGTGGCCACCACACATTCATGTGACATCTCATCCAGATCATGGACACTGGATCAGCAGCCATGTCCAACCTTATGTGTCTAATCAGAGGACACCTTAACTAGACTCACCTTCAGAGGTGACAGACCAGGTGACTTTCTAATTTGTTTCCTTCTGAGGTGAAAGTGTCAGACTCCTCTAAAGTATTAGGCAGATATTAATCACAGAGACTCCTGAGGGCCTAGAACTCAGGTTGTGCACTCCCTAGGAGCTCCTTGGCCACTGCACTCTTCCCTGCTCCCAGGGGATCTGAGACCCCTCGTGTCTCAAAATCTGGTCTCTGAGGATCTTGGTGGAACCTCCAGAAATGTTGTAAGATGTCCACCAGAGAAGACTGCTTGAATGTGGGTTTAAACCAATAGAAAGTCTTTATTAGTGGGTCAGGGAGTATACTGGCTGTTTGGGATCCCAGTTTAACACTAAGCCTTTCTCAGGGTGAGATTTCAAGCACAAAAACCATGTTCTGGGTTGATATACTCCAGTTAACAAGAGCAGTTAGTCAGAAATGAAACTACAGAAGACAAAAAGCAAGGTTAGTACATTTAGAGACTTTCCCAGTACCATGGACTTTGGTGGATTAGACCTTTGCTTTTATTTTGGCCAATGATACCATCTGTGTGCTGAATTTTATAGCATGAATGGTACTTCCATCATAGAGTCAGTTGTGCTAAAGTTTGGGGGCCTAATTAGGTCTGGGGCCCTGTTACAGTATGCAGTTATCATCAGCCACGCTGGGGCAGACCAGTGGTCCTCCACATGGGCCAGCACTTCCCACATCCTGACAATGAAAACACAGTAACTGTCTCATCTTTCTTTGATATTTCCAGCAGGATTGTAGATGAATAAGCTGCTAATTATGCTTTCAAGTCTCTAGAATTGTTGAATAAATTCTGCTCAGGTGAAATAAACATGAAAGCTAAGATGGATCTGAATGAAAACCTTGTACTTGTAGAAATAAGATTTTTAACTAAAAACTGACCTTTAGATTCCAATATCACTAGCAGACAAAATTCTCAACAAAAGGCAGGGCTAAACCTGAAGGGAAAGTTTATAATGTGCTGCCTCCTTCAAACTATCTCCAGCAAAGGTCTGCCTTGGGGCTTGAAATTTTACTAATAAGAAATTACTGCCAGGAGGTCTTTGTTTCAACAAACTCTTCTTACAACTCAGGTAAGAACAGAAAGTATAACATCACTGTAGATGGACGGGTCTGCTCCAAAGTCAGCAATCAGTAAAAACACAGCACTGGGTAAGTTGAAGAAAGCATGTTTTAATTGGCAAACATCGGAGGACGTGATGTTGAGTCTGAGCAACCCCACTTATTCAGCTCTCCAGGTTTTCCTAGGAAGAACAGTGAGAATCTCAGTACAAAAGACGGCCCTTCGGAACTGTCTCAGAACCGGGGAAGGATCTGCAGATGTTGCCAGGGACAACCACATCTTTTCCTTCGCTTTCTATTGACCCCAGCAATGGGAAGAAGTGCTCGACGACTGCAGAAACCCTATAGGTGATTAGGATGTAGGCTTAGTGTTTGTTGTCTAATGAGCAGAAACAAGAAAGGATGTGAATTTGAGTGGGTGGATGGGGAGGAGCACAAATCTTGAAGGAGTTGGGAGAGGAGAAACCATCTATCTATCTATCTATCACTATTTTTTAAAAAATAAGGTGGCATATGTCTTTTAAAAATAGTGGTGGCACGTGTCTTTAATCCCAGGTAATCCCAGCACTTTGGAGGCAGAAGCAGGTCTAAGTCTGAGGACAGCCTGGTCTACAGAGCAAGTTCCAGGACAGTCGGGGCTACAAGAAAAACCCTATGTGAAAAAACAAAAACAAAAAACCAAGCAAAAAGATAGAATGCCCACTATAAGGCAACTCTACAATAGATGAAACAAACGGTTGGATTTTTTCTATTGAAAAACAACTTTTTTGATACAACATATTTTATCATGTTTTCCACTTCCCCAGTTCAGCCCAGGTCCTCCCTCATCCCTACCACCCAGCTTAATGTCCTCTCTCTCTCTCTCTCTCTCTCTCTCTCTGTCTCTCTCTCTCTCTGTAAAACAAGCAATAAACAAGAAATACACACACACACACACACACACAAGATTATTCTAAATCTCCTCAACACATATTAAAGATGTTAAGGAACAAAGACTCAGCAGTTTACCAGGAAGCAGAGTAAAGCCAGGCTGAAATGAGTACTCACCGTCAATATACTTTATAGCTGATTATATATGGTAGAGATTAGGTTTACAGCCAGTGGTCAACATTTTATACAGCATGGTCCAACCCTCACAGGCTGAACTTTTGTTTCTCTTTTCCATGACAACTTACAAAAGGTTAATAATTAAGAGTCTCACTTGTTAAAAACCAAAACAGCACACGAGCCTAGCAAAGTGTGATGCTTATCAAAAACTCACCCATCCTCCCTGCTCCAGGATGAACTCTCGGACGGCTGTGTTCCCATTGATCATGCCCGTCATGCAGTTAGCCATCCTTCCTGCCATTTCAGGAGCCTTCTGGACCACATATTCAAGAAGTTTCACAGACACTGCCAGAAAGGCTCTTTCAAAAGCGAGGGTGGAGTTCTGAGCACACCAGGCCATGCTGAGAGACTGCACTGTGTCCTCAAATATAGTTCCTGCCTGAGGAGGGAGACAGGCTCTGTCAGTGTGACTCAAACGGTCCTGGGGTCTAGAAGAAGTAACTCTTCAGGAAGTGACCAGTGGAGCACCGTAGCGTGAGGGAATATTGGAGAGCAGATGGACAAATTTCTTAGTTTTAGCATTTTGTTACTTTACTATTAGAAAAACATTAACTCATCAAACTCCTGCGTTCAGATACCATTGGGTAGGATGAACAAAATGTTTTAAAGAAAGCTATTAAGCACACGAAAGTGAGCAAGTCAGACTGTAAAGGCATTATTCCTATGATTAGATATTTATAGCCAAGCCTAAAGTCAAAACAAACAAAAACATCTTCTTCCCACCCCCCCCCCCCCGCAAACAAATTGGTTCAAAAGCTATTAGGTGGAGCCAAGGTAGATCACTGAACTATGAGCATGGTCTATGCACACCAAGGGCAGCTCCAATGAAGCCTACGAGTTCCTTCTAAAGCACTAGGTTCTTACTGATGTCTAAAGAATTAGCAAGGGGGCTGGAGAGATGGATCAGTGGTTAAGAGCATTGCCTGCTCTTCCAAAGGTCCTGAGTTCAATTCCCGGCAACCATATGATGGCTCACAACCATCTGTAATGAGGTCTGGTGCCCTCTTCTGGCCTGCAGGCATACACACAGACAGAATATCGTATACATAATAAATAAATAAATAAATATTTAAAAAAGAATTAGCAATCATATTTCACTCCATAACTTCTTGAACAAATATAAACCTCAAAATCTTCACAGAACATTTCTATTCCTCATATGTAGGAATTAAAAAGGGAGGAAGGAAGGTGAAATTTCACATTTGAAATAGAACAAGCAGCAGACAATATTAAAAATCAAACCCTGACCTGTCCTCGAGTGGTTTCCGCAATGACATGATTGGCAGAAGCTTCCAGTTCTCCACTGAACTGGTCACCCAGCATTCGAAGGCGGTCAACAATTATAGACACATCAAAAGAGAAATCCTCTCCTAAGACAGAGAAAAATACTTTCACCGTACTTGAAGGAATGGGAAGTCTCTTTAATCTGGGTAGAAAAAAAATGTTCTCAAGTCTTATTCTTGTTTTTTTGAGACAGAGTTTTTCTGTGTAGTCCTGGCTGTTCTGGAACTCACTCTGTAGAGTAGGCAAGCCTCAACTACATCCTCAAGTTGTTGTTGTTATTATCATTATTATTATTATTATATTTTATTACTTAAAGAATATCAAATCCAAATTCCTACTTCCTCCCTCTTCCCACTTCCCTCCCACTCTCTCCACAAACCCTCCCACACACCCACTTCCAATCTTAAGAGAGGTCAAGGCACCCTGCTCTGTTGAAAGTCCAAGGCCCTCCCCACTACATTCAGGTTGAGCAAGGTATACATCCAAAAATAATCAGATCCCAAAAAGTCAGTACATGCAGTAGAGACAAATCCCAGTGCCACTGTCATTGGCCCCTCAGTCTGCCCCAACAACTGTCAACCACATTCAGAGGGACTAGTCTCTCCTAAAACAGAGAAAATACTTTCACTATGCTTGAAGGAATGGGAAGTCTCCTGATCCTGGGTAGAAGAAAAATGTTCTCAAGTCTCATTCTTGCTTTTTTGGGACAGAGTTTCTCCATGTAGCCCTGGCTGTTCTGGAACTCTGTAGAGTAGGCTGGCCTCAACGACATTCCCAAGTTTTTAAAACAGTTTTGGAATTCTTTGTCCTCAGTAGTTGCAGTCAGGCCATCTTCTTTATTGAGAAGCTCTTTCCTTTCAAATGTTACCAAAAGTTTAGGGCTTGCCTTCTAAACCTTGAGAGGAACCAGAGAGCACAAACTCTGACTCTATTACCCACCTGCAGTCACCCCAGACCAGGAGCCTTACCTGAATATGGTTCCTCATCATCCAGGAGGTTCCGGTTAGCCACCTGGAAGGTTGGGGTCAAAAGGTCTGCGAGCAGGCCATTCATGACACATTCTGTTTGCTCCTCAAAAGTCCGGGGGTTCTTTATCTTAGACATTTTCCACACAACAAGCGGTTTGCGGCTCAGCAGAAGGTTAGAGACCCCAGCAAACCAGTTGTGCCTGCCCACCTCCTACTGGGTCCTAATTGTGTCCTAGCTTCCTTCCCACTAACTTTTCTCAAGAGTAATTGCTCAGAAAGGTACAAATTCTCCCAAGACAAAGAATTTTCAGTTTCATATCTCTGAACCACACCCTTGCCAGTACATAAGATTAATGAATAGCTTTTATAGGTAAACAATCTATAACTAAAATAGAACTGAGGAAGATTCTCTTGAGTAAGTTCCTTAAGAACACTTCCTGGAGCTGACAGCCACCAATGGCCACCATCTGAGCCAAGAGGCTTCGTCCTTCACGCCTGAAGGTTGCCTCCCTCCCAGGGCCCTTGCTCTCGCCCTGCTTCTGCAGAAGATTTCAACACTAAGCTTGCACAATGTCTTTGAAACCAAGAGTACTGGATTTAGATGAAACATGGAACAACTTGCTAACCACAAGCAGAGCTTTATGTTGGATAAAGTTGTGAGAGCAACACGGAACGACCATTTCTCATATAATGATGCTTCATGTGTGGCCTGTCCTGAACCACTTGGAGATAGACTTTATGGAGAAACAAAGGATTTTGTTTTGTTTTGTTTTGTTTTATTTTTTGAAAATTGGGTTTGGCATTTGCATAAGAGTGTTTTGGAGTCAGAGAAGGTATGACGGAGAATGAAGTGGAGGTCAAACTCCCCAATTTCATCACTGTTTGCAAATATATCCATGAAAAACCATTTTTCTATGCAAGAATGCTAGCAAATGTCTAATTTAGGAGTTGTCTGTGTCTATGGATACTGAAGAAGCAGTGATCAATAAATTAAAGCAAGCCTGTGGTTATGAGTTTACCAGGAAGCTGCATCAGATGGACACAGACCTAAGTGTCAGTGCTGATGCCAGCAATAAGCTCAATCCTTTCATCAGAAACCAAGATACGGGGATAGATGAGGGGGTTGGTTTCCAAATATATGTCCTTCAGGCTGGTGCACAGCCTCTCACTGAGGCTTCTTCATCCGAATTTGCAATTCCCCGAGAGTTAGAAAAAAGTGAACAGGTGTTCAAATTATTTTATAGCCAGTATTTCAGTTGAAGGAAGCTGACATGGTTAGATTACCTCTGTAAGGTGAAGCTAAAATGAACTATTTGGCAAAACTGCATGTAGCTATGGTTATGGTCTACCAAATGACAGTTCTTCTTGCCTTTAAAAACAGTGAAACTGTCAGCTCCAAAAAACTTTAAGACAGCACCCAGATGAGCAAAAAGGAGCTGACCAAAATGATCAAATCATGTTTTGATGTGAAAATGATTAATCATGATTCAGAAAATATCAATGCAGAATCTTCATTAAATATGAGTTTCAGAAGTAAGAGAACCAATTTTAAATCCTACGTCAATGACAAAGGATACACACAAGAACTGGAACAGACTAGAAGTGCGCGGTGCTCTCATTTCAGAGTAATCAAGAGCCAGGTTCAGTCCATATCAGCGTTACTGACAGGTGCACAGAAATCCTGACAGACAAGCAGTACACTGAGCTCGGCCAAGCATCTGCAAATGAACAGTTCCACCACGTGACACGCCCTGTCCTGGGGGTGTTAGATCATTTTAACACCCTTTGGGGTGCTCCTGTGGGGAAAAGCAAGCCTGTGCCTCCATACTTGGGTCATTTGGCCGTCCCTGCTTTTCTGTTCTTCCCAACGTCACCAGTGCCACGTCATGAGCGTCAGGGAGTGAATGCCTGGAGTCATCTCATGCTCATGTCAATAGACATTTCTTAACCTTTATCAGCAGAATGAGTGAAGCACTGCCGCAATGAGGGAGCGGCTGGGGCCCTGCTGTCTCCCCTTCACGTCTGCAGTTGATGTGCTTGGTTGTTGCTTTTTAAAGCACCCTAAGGACATAGAATAAAAACTTAATTATTGTAAAATGACAATAACCTAACAATTGTATCTACATTGAAATGATAAACATGATATTGGTGCTTGTCAAATAAAAAAAAATCAACAGAGTGCCCTCTGCTTTTTTTACTATGAAGAAGTAAAACAACCCATTTTTTTCCATTCAAAAATTTACACTTCTTCCCCTCCTCCCATTCCCTTCCTGCTTGCTCCCCCACTCACCTTCCTCCCTCCCCCTCCCTCCTTAAGAGAGGGTAGGGAACCCTGCCCTGTGGGAAGTCCAAGGCCCCCCCCCCTACATCCAGACCTATTTGCATCCAAATAGACTAGGATCCCAAAAAGCCAGTACATGCAGTAGAAACAAGTCCCAGTGCCTTTATCAATGGCTTATCAGTCAGCCCTCATTGTCAGCCACAATCAGAGAGTCTCTTTTGATCACATGCTTGTTCAGTCCCTGTCCAGATGGATTTGGTGAGCTCCCATTAGAACAAGCACACTGTCTCAGTGGGTGGACCAACCCCTAATGGTCCTGACTTCCTTGCTCATCTTCTCTCTCCTTCTGCTCTTCAACTGGACCTTGGGAGCTCAGTCCGTTGCTCTGATGAGAGTCTCTGTCTCTATCTCCATCCTTCACCAGACAAAGATTCTATGGTGATATTCGAGATAATCATCAGTGTGATAGTGGGGCAAGGCCAGTTCAGGCACCCTCTCCTCTGCTGCCCAAAGACCTAGCTGGGGACATCCTCGTGGACACCAGACAAGGCTGTCCACTCTCACCATATCTCTTCAACATAGTGCTTGAAGTTCTGGCAATAGCAATAAGACAACATAAGGAGATCAAGGGGATTCAAATCGGAAAGGAAGAAGTAAAACTTTCATTATTTGCAGATGATGTGATTATGTACAAATAGTGACCCCAAAAACTCTACCAAAGATCTCCTACAGCTGATAAACACCTTCAGTGATGGGCAGGATACAAGATCAACTCAAAAAAAATCAGTAGTCCTCCTATACACATTGAATAGAGAAGCAGAGAGGGATATCAGAGAAACTTCACCTTTCACAATAGCCACAAATAGCATAAAGTATCTTGGGGCTACACTAACAAAGGAATTGAAAGATCTATTTGACAAGAACTTTAAGACTTTGAAGAAAGAAATTGAAGAGGACACCAGAAAATGGAAGGATCTCCCATGCTCTTGGATGGGTAGGATCAACATAGTAAAAATGGCAGTTCTACCAAAGGCAATGCATAAATTCAATGCAATCCCTATCAAAATCCCTACAAAATTCTTCACAGACCTTGAGAGAACAATAATCAACTTTATATGGAAAAACAAAAAACCCAGGATAGCCAAAACAATCCTATACAAAAAAGGAACTTCCGGAGGCATTGCCCCTGCTTTTTAAAGATTTATTTACTATGTGTAATGTTCTGCCTGATGTACATATACATGCCAGAAGAGGGCAGCAGATCTCTTTATAATTGGTTGTGAGCCACCATGTGGGAATTGAACTCAGGACCTTTGAAAAGAGCAGTCAGTGATCTTGAACATCGAGACATCTCTCTAGCCTCCAGAATGCTTTTTTCTTAAGAGAAAAGAAAGGGGGGGAACTCCCTGTTTGGTTCTGTATCCAATACAATTTAAAGAGAGGTTTTTGAAACTCTGAAAGACCAGCATTCAGCTTCTGATTAGGGCATTCCTTCAACATGATTAGACAACGATTACTTACTGAGCATTATGTTTAGATACTATACTTGGCACTAGAGACAAACAGAAACATGGCATGGGCATGTAAAGAATGAAACAATCCCACACCAGTTTATATTCAATGGGGTATTTATTTTAGGGGTAAAATTTACAGAACACAGACAGCCAGCAAAGGAGTCTAATCGCTGGAGCAAGAGCCGGAAGCAAGAGCTGGAAGCAAGAGAGCGAACAGAGGGTTGCTGCTTTTTTTAAAAGAGAAACAGACCATGCCCAGTGGGCTGGTATCTCAGTGGCTATTGGCTGGAGGAGCAGAAGGCACTCCCGCAGCACCTCCCCCTTTTGTTTAAGTAAGAGAGTTCTAAACCTGACAAAATTATACACAATAAGAACAAATATCCTATTCTAACTAGCTTAAGTCTTGTATAATAAATAACTTGGCCAAGTCAGGAGAGGAAAGCAGCTACAATTATCTAGTCTTCAACCCCATCGAAGATCTGAGAAGGGAAATAATGTTATCTGAATAATTAGGAAGTGCAATCAAACAACTTCCAAAACATGCAACAAATCATAGAGACAACTGGCTACCTGGGCAATCACCCAAAGTCACGTTTGCAGTGTTGAAGCAACCAACTTTGACTAAGGCCTAGAATAACTGACAGATTATTTTTTAAAGGCAAGAGATTTTTCAAAACCGTCTTACCCTGTCATGGTAAGATTTGACAGTTCTGCTTATCCATTTCCGGATACTATGTATTTTGTTAGTAGTTGAGGTATGGGTAGTTCCTTGCCCAGAGGCCAGTTTTGCCAAGAAGAAGACAAGCTCCAAGTGGAGTGTCTTTGGTGCTCAACAATCTCTCCGGAATAGAATGGTGCTGCCAGGAGCAATTGTGTCTCACTACCACAGAACTCTAAGATTAAATTAAATGCCATTTTCTGCAGCTCTTTGAAGAGGTTGAAGATTATTAATACAGAATATAATCTCTATGTATCTAAATAAACTGATTAGTCTAACTATAAATATGACAGACATAGATGACTATTGGTCTACAATTCTTAATACCTAACTTAAAGACTAACAGAATAAACAACTGTGCAATAAATGAGGACAATGACCTCCAAATGTAAACAATGTATATCAATACATTAACAATATATGAGTATCTTAATCAGAGGTAGAAATGTACACTGCACTATGGTAAATATATATCTATATCAATACATAAAAATGTTTTAAACAGAGGTAGAAGCATGCATACATACAATATTCAATATAATTTAACTTTGTATCCATATACAAAAATCTATGCCAATGTAATTATCTACAAACAGTAACTCACAAATATCAATCTATTATCCCATCATCCAATTTTCCATTTTTTTTCAAAAAGATCCCTGAGTTTATGAAATTCCTCCCCCAACCCTCAACTGTATACCAATTATAATAAACCCCTAAATAATGACCCTAAACCCAAGGACAAACTTTACTGGGAGAGGGGACGTCGTTCTCTAGAATTACTTCCAGCTGTCATGAGGGTGACGTTCTTTCTGGGGGATCCTTGAAAGTAAAATGATGGTTAAATTTCAAGATCAATGTCTTTTAAAATTGCAAATAGTCTCTGAGTATTTTGTGGAGGTCTGGCCAGAATGTTGTACAAGATGTGCATCATTTCAGCTAAACAAGTTGGAACCGTCTGTGCAGCTGATACCCGAAACAGGACTTGTAGTAGCGCTATCAGTATCATGACGTCATATCAACCGAGTGGAGTTGTTGTTATGGGGCCCCATCTTCTTCCTGGAAACTTCAAATGCCACTGCAGGAAAAACTCATTGTTCATTGTGGAAAACTTAAACATTAATTATATAGACATATACAGACATACACATATTCAATGAAAGGTATGATAGATATATTCAATGAAAAGTATGATCTGTAGGTACCCAGGTCTTTTTCCCTTTTCTTCCTTGGCATTTTGCAGGGCTGTTTGATCTCTGGCCCCTGGAGATTCTGCAAGAGCACTGGCTTGAGGGTAGCTTAGAAAGAACTTGGCTGTCTTTGTTATGGTAATTCCACCTGTAAACAAGGCTGCAGCTGCGGGCCCTACACGCCTCCCACGCCTACCTCCCAGTAGCTGATTCTGCCTGAGGCGCTGGGAATGTATCAATCTATTCTACTGCTTCTGATGGGAGGGGGCCTTGCCTCCTGGTATAAATACCCGACTTGAGTTTAATAAACAGCGGCTTTTTTACTCTCTGGCAAGCGAGCAGGTCTCTTGTGTTTGTCTGTTTAAACCCTTAGGACAGTCGTCCATTCTCGTGGCCCTGGTTCAGGAAAGCGCGCTCCTAGATTAGGCCTGGGTATCCACAGAAAGTGCGGAGGCTTACAATGATCGATATGAAGAAAAGCAAAGATATTTTCTAAACTCATATTTCTTTCTGGTCCCATATCATGGCTCTTGACGTGAGACAGAAACTCTGGGTTTTTCTCATAACAACAGGCTTGGAATTAGAGAGGGAATGAGCCAGAGTCCAACTCCAAAACCAGCTCTATAAATTTAGAAATGTAATTTAGTATGTCTTAGATATTTATACTTACTGAACCTATTCAGTTTTCTTGATAGTCCCTGGGTAGTTATTTTTTCCATCTGTCAGTATTCAAACATCCACGGTCCCTTGAACTTTTCAAAGATGAGAGTTTTCCTGCGGAGACAAGAACAGAACCCTGCCCCCATTCTATGTTTTCCTTACCACCTATAC